TCAGCTAAATATCTACAGCGGATCTAAAATATTCATAATTAATTATAACTAGTTATGATTAATTATTCATATTTCCCATGAGCTGATTCGTTACAAATGTTATAGAACAAACTTTGTACAGTCAGAACCAGAGTGATTAATACATCGTTGAGTCAAATCTCTCCAGCAACTGCCGGGGAGGTTTGAAAGTTGCAGAGGTCCAGCCATTTCTGGCCAGGCCAGTTCGCACTGGAGAGTAGCGGTAGTCCCATGCGATTTCTAGTGTCATCTTTCAAAAGCAAGACCAGAGAAAATGCTCGCTTGACATGGGCATTGGAACAGGCAGAACAAGAAGTCGTATGGCTCCTTGCGCTAATTCCTGGAAACACTTGTGTCCTCCTGCATATTTAAACGCTTCGACTTCCAGCCAAAACTTGTCAACGTCCTGATCATCAGAGAAGCCTGCTGATGCCACATTCCTCCATTGCGATTCTAATGTATCAGTCGAGCATAAGAAAAGATCAGCTGGTAAGTCCTTTACTCCAGGCCTATTTAAAGTGGACATAACGGATTTTGGACATAGGAGCTCCAGTTTGCGCAACATTTCCATTGAAGTAGGTAAGCGCAATTGATACTGCTTTACAAGTTCTTTCAGAAAATCCATACAGCGCGATGCAATTCTCTCCTTTATGTCTCCTTTTAGGCTAACCTGCTTTTCTCCAGTTGATCCATAAATGTGGTACCCAGGTCCGCATCCAGAGGGGAGAGGAAAATGCCAGACTATGTGAGGTCAAGCTCCTGGAGCTGCTTGTCATTACTCATGCGTAAGACACTTGGTTTGAGAACGCGTCTAGCAGTTGTCATATACAGTCTTTCCAAGTCTCTAAACACACCGAGGGTGTCTCCGGTTTCCAACTGAAAGCATTTATTCACAGCTTTGATTTCCATCAGAACAGGCTGAAGAAAGTACATGTAAAGGAGATTAGTTTTGTGATTGTACATCTCCTTTAAAAGCCGAGCAGTATAACAGTGCTCTGAACTTGAAGCCATGTTAAAGTGCAGTGTGAGGGCATCTTTTTGATCCACAATATGGTCAATGCAGTCAGCCATCACAAGCCAATGGGTACAGCTTGGACTTATTCATTTCAGAGGGCAGCCCCCGTTATTAATAGTCTCGTATTTATTCTTGAAGTCATACTGCCGCTTTGCTGAATGAGCAAACCAGTTGTAGGATTCTCTAACCATGTATGCTATGTTGCTCGGAAGAAGCTGCATTGCTTTATTTGCAACAATGTCAAGTGAATGGCAAACACAACGAATAAGCTGTAGGTTTGGCTGCATTTGTTTTAAGTAGGGTGAATACTGAATGGTGTTTTCCAACCATTACGCTGGCACCATCTGTGGCAATGCCCACCATGTTTTTGATCTGCAGGCCGTTCTGGGATATAAAGGCAACAACAGTGTCTGATATGCCTTTAGCATCAGCATCTGTCAGGTCCACAAGTCCAAGATATGTACTTACAAATTTGTGGTGTTTTTTTTTTTGTGGTATTTCACACAAATACAGAGAAATTTGTTCACGGATATGTCAGTGCTTTCATCAAGATACAGGGAATATTGAGATTCCCCCACAATATCCTCCACAAGTTCTTCTCTGAAGTGTGGCGCGAGGAAAGATTTGATAACGGCTGTGCACTTTGTCCGGTGCATTTGGAATGTTCCCATCTCATCTTTCAAAATGTCTGACAAATCATCCACCGCGTTTATTGAAGTGTGACAAGTAATGTAGGCAGCGATTCTAATTTCACGGCGCTTTTGGTCATCCTTGATCAGACACTGCCCTGCTGCTCCGGCTGACACAGTAAAAGCTTTAACACTTGGAGCAGAGCGCGATTTGTGTTTTTATGTGTTAGCATGTTCCTTTAAATCGTTTAACTGCGCTCTGATTTCTGATTGACAGTATTTACAAAATGCCTTTGACTCGTCGCCAACCACAGATGAAATCCATGTTTCCATAGACATTTTGGTCGCTCTCCCATTCTTTTCAGTAGGACTTTCTATATTTACCCCACTTTGGCATGATGATGTTAGAAACACTTACAGCTTTGCTAATAACTTTAGGATTCTGGCTTAACGAGTACAACGATTACAACAACCCGCCAATCAAGATTGAAGTCTGATTGGACAGGACTCTCCTGAACTTTATTGGCCAAAATGAACAATATAATTTAAAAGTCAACATTACATATTTTACTTTATTGTAAAGTTCGTTTGAATGGAAAATTAATAAAAAAATATCATGTTTATAGTCAAAAATATAAACCCGCCAGTTGCATCAAAAACCAGCCCAAATTTTATCAACCCACCCAATGCATTTTTCCCCGGTTAGACATGACCAAAAGGAGCCCAATTGGGCGGGAACCCAATCTGGCAACACTGATGGTGAGTAGTCTTGTTGATAGGTTTCTTGCTTCTCGTAGAAGGTTAGCTGAAGAAAAAGATTCTGAAAGGATGACGTACAAGCGCTGCTTTATATAGAGTGGGAGCCCCTCATATTTCGCACGCATTGGCCAGTTTCACTGGCTTGATTCAATAAGGCTTCAGTAGTATTTGGATAAAAGCGTAATTCCCATAGCAATGTAGAGTGACCGAATCGAAAGGGAACTACGGAAAACAGGCTTCTGCTCCAGTCTGCTGGAATGACGCGCACCATTGTGACGTAGCATGGCACCGCCTTTACATGTTTCAACTCGGTCCTCTGAGCAACTGTAAAGCTCGTCTAAAGTTCGTTTGAATGGAAAATTAATAAAAAAAATATCATGTTTATAGTCAAAAATATAAACCCGCCAGTTGCATCAAAAACCAGCCCAAATTTTATCAACCCACCCAATGCATTTTTCCCCGGTTAGACATGACCAAAAGGAGCCCAATTGGGCGGGAACCCAATCTGGCAACACTGATGGTGAGTAGTCTTGTTGATAGGTTTCTTGCTTCTCGTAGAAGGTTAGCTGAAGAAAAAGATTCTGAAAGGATGACGTACAAGCGCTGCTTTATATAGAGTGGGAGCCCCTCATATTTCGCACGCATTGGCCAGTTTCACTGGCTTGATTCAATAAGGCTTCAGTAGTATTTGGATAAAAGCGTAATTCCCATAGCAATGTAGAGTGACCGAATCGAAAGGGAACTACGGAAAGCAGGCTTCTGCTCCAGTCTGCTGGAATGACGCGCACCATTGTGACGTAGCATGGCACCGCCTTTACATGTTTCAACTCGGTCCTCTGAGCAACTGTAAAGCTCGTTTTCCGAGAAGGGTATAACTGCAGCCTGGAGATCTCCAAATGGGGGCGGGAACTCCAAAACGGGGTGGGAGCTCCAAAATAGGGCATGGCTTCCTCCCATTGACAGACAGGCACATGACACGTAAGTCGAAGCTTAATCAACTGTAACAAGGAGGCGCTAAAGCCCAATTTATACTTCTGTGTCGAACCTACGCCGTAGCTTACGCATAGACGCACACCTATATGCCGTAGCCTGACGTGCACCTCTCCAAAAATCTAACAGTTCAATTCTATGCAGACCGCAAGCGCTGTGATTGGTCTGCTAGAACCCCTACTTCCGTATGTACTTGAGTTTTGTGTGTGTTTATGTGCACTTTAATATATTTTAATGTTACACCTTCTTATATAAAATAAAACAAAGCAAAGAACAAGTGTCTTATCATTTATTATACTACATAGCATTATACATCAGTAGTTGTCCGTGACAAATAATGTCGATCTGCCCTGTCATGGTACAAGTCCTTGTGGAGATTGAAAGTATGCCATCTTCTCCTGTTCCGTTGTTGTCTTATCAGCCTTAAGGCGTAAAGGCTATGGCGTAGGTCCGACACTCTGTACGGCTTCGGAGGATAAACATGTCCATATTATCAGAAAAACACAAAGGCTCTTTTAAGACCACACGGTCACATAAAGAGTCAATGTTGAAGTGATAGTGCTGTTTTATGCTTTTGTTGAAAGCCAAAAATAAGACTCAAGTGAATGAATTCTATTTATTGCACTGTTTCTTGTCATAGAAGTGGGCACGGCCATTTGTAAATTCTATGGGTCTGGCTTCCGGTCTCATCTACATCCAGCTATTTTTAGCTGTACAAAACAGTTCGTTTTGCTGCTTGATATTGAAAATTGGTGTGTCTTATAATATTTTAATGTATTATCTTGTTTATGAACACACTGGTTTGTAATGCTTACTGCACGTTGTTATTCTCCTCGTTATTTACCTACAGTGGTTAATGTTCCGGAAGTCTCACCCATAGGCTTACTTCCGCGTTGAAGTAAAAGGTGGATAAATATTTCCATAACATTGGTTACAATTGGGATCGTGTTGGTTTAAATGGAAACGGTTTCTAAACTAAACTAACTTTAGCACAAAATGTGTGTATGGTGTATGTTTGTTAAAACAATTATGTGGTCAAGAGTTCATTAACTAGAAACATTTGAGTATGACTAGATTATTTTCAGCGGGTTAAATTTGGTCCCCCCGGTCTAGATTTACAGTGTTTCAGAGTCCTAAAGTTGCCAAGAAGTTTTTTCCAGGTTGATCACATTCAATATGAATAACACATTAAGAGAGAAATGCACATTTGACATTAGAATGCAGGGCAGCATGCAAACCAGTTATCTGTCCTGAAAAAGTATTTAAAGACTTTTTCAGGACAGATAACTGGTTTGCATACTGCTCTGCGTTCTAATTTCAAATGTTCATGGTAGATATGTATACTGTATAGCTAATACAAACCTGAAATGATATTTTCAGGACTAAAACAAATATAGGATTCACCTGACAATACAGAGTGACTACTATACATTAATATTAAGACATTAAACTGAATACATTATATGGCTGAATACATGACACAAATACATTGTGTGTTGATTTTTTCTGTTCACAAGAAACAAAACAAAACAGCAAATATTTTGTTTTATTCATTATTTACGTTTCCAAATGCATATTAAATAATTGGTTAAGATACAATTACATTCTATAAAGCATATAAAAGCACTGGATACATCTATACACTGTTGAAAACGTCAGAACACAAAATCATATTGCTATGATTTCCCCTGACCAACAAAAGTGCCCTTGAGAACAATAAATCTCCCTCTGTAAAATATACATTTCCTCTTTTGGTGATTAAACAAAAGTGGCATTCATTGAAATTTAATTGAACTGTTCCTTTATTCCTTTTTATTAATTACAACTCTTCTCTCTTTTCATGATAAATGCTACATTGTGGCATCCAAAACAGTATTAAAATGCATTTGCGTCAAACAGGTTAACATTAAATAAAAGGCAGCACCTTCTATATAGGGTTTTTTTTTCCTCTCCTAAATGTAGCAACTGTTGTTCGATTCAGTAGTTTTGTTTGTTTTTTTCTTGATTAGGAAATCTAGAGGTATAAGCATGTTTAGGGAACACTCACATGGAAGGGACTTCCTGGTACAGTTTCATCCCCCCATTTGACAATAACAACATAGTTTCCTTTCTCCTTCACTGTGTAGGTTACATTGTAAAGCTTGTTTCCCATGTGTTTAACAGCCACATCTTCACATGGAGTTCTAGGACCATGGATGCCAACCATTAGCATGTTTGTTCCTTAACGGGAAAGAAAAAAAACAAAATAAATATCCTGTATAACTGTATTTTGTTGGTGCTAAACCATTATCGGCTTTATTTTACCTGCTTTACTACAGTCAACGGAAAAAGTGTTCTGACCCACGAAGGCTTTGGAGAGGCCGGCACCATGACATACAACCTTACTGGCATCTGAAGTTGACTTGGAGCTGGACAGAGAGCTGAAACCTCCTGCCATCTTTGAGGTTTTGGTAACCGTCTCCACAATGACTGATGAAGTTTCATGTAGACTGTGGCCTCCAGACAGACGCATACCTACAGCAAAAGACAGATGTGTTTACATCCACAGCCACAACTCTTGCACTTGCACAAATATTATTTACCTGAAAAAAATACACTGGAAGTCTGATGAAGTTAAATAATAATAAATAGTTCCTGGTTCAATTATCAGCATTTGGGGCATAATATTGATTACCAACAAAAAAGTCAGGGGACATTCCTTTACATTGAAGAAGGAAGTTTAATCAATCCTACCTGTAACCTTTGCTTTGAAGGGACTGCCAACAATGTGCTGTGGACCACCATATTTGATGCATATAAGGTAGTTTCCTGGCGCCATCGGTGTATAAGAGACTTTGTAACCTTCTAGACACTCAGTGCAGTCCATTTTGACCTTTGAGGGACCGTCAATAGTAACAGATAAGGCACTTGAACCAGCCTTGCATGTGTTAACTCAATAATTTTGACCCATACAATGTATTGTTGGCTTTTGCTACAAATATACCAGCGCTACTTATGACTGCTTTTGTGCTCCAGGGTCACATATGATCTAAGCATTCCTGTTTGTTCTGCAAGGCATAGAGCGGTTGTGCTTAGCCGTGGAGCTTATACCTGAAGACTTGTAACAGTAAGTCGACGTGCATCATCAGACAATGTAGCAACAGGAACAATGAAGGGGCTATCTGGGATATGCTCGTTATTGAACTTGATGGAAACTTCATAGTCACCTGAGAGAAGAAATGGAGAACGGGAGCGCAATGATTTCAACTGGATTTGCAAAATAGGTATAACTCAAATCATAGCGAGTTCTGTTGTAAACCTCACCTGGCTCCTGCACAATGTAAATAACACCACAGGATCCATCTTTTCTGTCTTCAAAGGAGATTTCAGCCTTACTTGGACCCTCAACAGCAATGGACAGACCGCCTGCTCCAGCCTCTCTTGTCCAAATGCTGAATTCAGCTATCACAGAGTAATGAAAAGAGAGATGCAGAAGATGAGAGGAAAATCTATCACAGTATTTGTCAATACAAAAAATCGGAAGAAAACAAAACGTGTTTAAAACATACCAGGAACTTTTGCGACAGCTCTCTCTAGGCCTGTGCCTCCAGCCCGGACCTTGTGATAGCCTCCTTCCCCAAGGGGCCCAACTGTGAACTGGAAGGGGCTTCCAGGGACATGCTCACCCCTGTATTTGACGTTGACTGTGTGAGAACCCATTTCAGCAGGTACGAAGCGGACTCTGTAGGTACTGTTCCCGCTATCAACAATTTCTGCATCGGCTACATTTCCACCAGGGCTGGTCACCTGGGCTGTCATTCCCTGAATCTCTGTGTCAGCTGGAAATGGGAAAACCATTGAAGGTAACCAATAAAAAAAAAGCTAGGGGTGTTTTAGGGAGGGAGGGAGCTTAATAATGGTTTATCCTTACCCTCTTGCCTTACTGCACCAAAGCTACCCAGTCGTTCTCTTCCCAGTAAGGACTCAAAAACATTGCTGAAAGGGTCACCGCCAGCCTGTGTACTCTCTTCTACGTGTACCTCCCGCTTAGTCTCACCTCTGTGGGTCTTGCTGATTTCTGTGCGTTCTGTACGTGTGTAAGTGTGGCTACTGCGTGTGAAGGTACGAGTTAAGCGCTCCTGTGCTGACAGCATCTGAAACCAGTTTCCTGTGTAGAAATGCATCAGAGAGATTTCCGGAAACTTTAGTTGTTTAAAAAGTTTTCAGACACCCTGGCTAACTCTGTAACAGTTTATTGTATTCCATTTAAATCCTTTTTTTTTTTTTATCGTATATACTAACAATTGTTTTTACCTGGGATTTTGAGGTTTAGGTCACATGCACTGCCTACTGAGGCAACAGAGGCAGCTTGCCGTTTTCTCGTTATACTCTCCTTCATCCTTCCTTCTCCTGTTACCTTCACTGTAAAAGGGCTTCCTACGGAGTGGGACGAGCAAACAAACTGTTACAAATCTCTACTATTGTCAACTGCCAGTCTACATGAGTATATCGTTGTAAAGAAACACTGAAAAGTAACCTGGTATGTGTTTGTCTGTAAACTTGATGTTGATGATGTAGTTGCCCGGTTCAGTGGGGCAATATGTCACTTTACATGTTCCATCTTCCATATCCTCACAATTGATATCCACTTTACTTGGACCCTCAATTGACAATCCAAGTCCTCCATATCCTTTAAAACCAAGATGGTGTGAAAAACATTTTAATTAGGGGTATTGCATTAGGTTTAAATTTGAAATCAGTGTTGGCAGTAGTGCATTACAAGTAATGCAAGTTATGTAATCAGATTACTTTTTTTAAGTAACTAGTAAAGTAACGCATTATTTTTTAATTTACATGAAAATATCTTTATGTATTTAATCTCCTTTTATTAATCATTGTCTTTGCTGCTGACCTTCGATGATCCAGTTCAACCATACTAATAAGCAAAAATGACTTTAGATAAACAGTGGTGCACTTTATTCTTTTGCATCCTATTCTTCATGCAGTCCAGAAAAGCAGCACAGCTGAAAGGTTTGTTTGGCTGCGCCCTCTACTGTACAGATGTGAATTTACATTTTCTGCTGCTGAGGCTTATTCTTTTCACTTTTGGTGTGAAAGGACTTTTACATTTGCCAAAACAGAACTTTGTTTTATATTAAAAACAAACAAGCAACCCCAGATGAGCCCTGATGAGGTACTTTTTAGCGAGTAACGCTATATTGTAATGCATTACTTTTAAAAGTAACTTCCCCAACACTGTTTGAAATCATGCGTAAACAACTCTAAGTGCAAAAGAACTGCAACGACATACCAGCATTTCTAGTGTCCACAAAGAACTCGGCCAGTTCAAAGGTATGTGCTTCAACGAGACCTTTACCAAAAGCCTTGACCCTGCTGGCCTCCCCGATTTCAGATGGCCCTACCATAATCTTAAAAGGGCTGTTGTTCACGTGTTTCCCACTCTTCCTCACACTGACCTCATGCTCCCCCACTTCCTTTGGGGTGAACGAGAGACCTAGTGAGGCAAGGAGAGCAGAGATTATTTAATGCAAATGTAGTATATGCAGAAAGCATTTTATGGCCTTTTACGTGCTTACCAATGTGCTGGTTGGGCAGTCTCTTCAGCAGGCACGGTTCCTCCTTTCCTGATGGAGCTTTAATGCTAGCTGTCAGATAGCTCAGGTCTGTTTCTGTGATCTTCAGTGAGACATCTGCTGCCGTGCCAACGTTCATCTGAGATCTTCGGAGTGAATCGTCACCTACATGGACATGACACATTAACAGAGAGGATGGTAAGTTACCGTGCGCAAGAATTTAGCTATTTTTGCCAGTTCAGAGTGCTTGTCATACCAGTGATCTTTGCTGTGAAGGGGCTGCCAGGAATATGACTGTTATCAAACTTGACGATGATGTTGTAATCGCCAGGTGAAGTGGGCAAGTAGGACACAGTGCAGGTGCCATCTTTATTGTCCTTACAACTGATTTCTGCTTTAGATGGACCCTCTACAGCAAGGGACAAACCACCTGTGAAGGGCAAACAAAATGGACTAATTGTTACGTTTTCTTTTTTTTAATAAAAAATATTTACATTTGCTTTGATGCAAAGCAAAACATTTATGTACCTTGTCCAGCATTCTTGGTAACAACAGTAAAAGTGGCTGGTTTATTGACTGTCCCATGGCACAGACCAGGTCCATAGGCTGTGACCATTCCACTGTTCATTACATCTACATAAAACTGCAAAGGACTTCCTGTGAACATAATTGCATTCAAGTCATGATTCTGTAACAAGCTTGGTGCAATGTATCATTCCATGGATGTTAAATGAAAATTACAGTGGTCTTAAAAGGGTCATATAATGCGATTTCAAGTTTTCCTTTCTCTTTGGAGTGTTACAAGCTGTTCGTGAATAGATAAGATCCCTAAAGTTGCAAAGACTAAAGTCTCAAACCCAAAGAGATATTCTTTATAAAAGTTAAGACTCGTCCACACCCTCCTAAAACGCCTCGTTTAAACACATGTCTACGTCACTGTGTGGGAAGATTTGCATAACACCACCCAAATGTTCACGCAAAGAAAGAAGGCATAACTTTGATTCTCGCTGTAGTATTGTTGCCACTGCCGCCATGGCCTGAAGACGCTGTGTGTTTCATTGTGAAAGCGAAACTACTTTGTTTGGCCTTCGAAAAGAGGACACGACTAGAAATCAGTGGTTAAGTTGTATTTACAACACTGTTCCAGAACACTTCAACCCAAATATTCAGATGTGTGCAGTGCATTTTAAGGAGGGTGAGAACTGTTTCCTGGGAGAGTGTACAATATCGGTGTTCCGGTGAATTCAGTTCCCCGTTTCCCCTTCGTCGCGCATGCTGACCCTATACAGTCTATGATGCTGACAAAGGATGCTGACTCACAGCTTGTAAGTACGTTTTCATATTTAAAGGATTTGCCACTGACAATTCAAACACGAGTTCTAAGCAGTGTAGAGTGGCGCTCGTTGTTTGTCGTTTCTCCGATCACAAATGCAGACATGGTTTTATATTTACGCGTCGCGATGCAACGCAATGCATAAAAAGACAGTATAAGTCATTATAATCAGTAATTATGACCCCACTTGATACAACAAATGCCTCGTTTAACAAATGCCCTCGGCCGGGACACGGCATCACAGTATGTTGAGGGGCGTAACATTTCCATCACACGCTTGAGGTATTCGGCCAATCACAACGCACTGGATAGCTGGCCAATCAGAGCACACCTTGCTTTTCAGAACGATGAGCTTTGTAAAAATCAACGCGTTTCAGAAAGGTGGGGCATAGAGGAGAAACAATAATGTACAGTATGTGGAAAATAATGTGTTTTTTTAACCTTAAACCGCATAAACGCATTTCATTACACCAAATACACAAAATAATGTTCTTTTTTAGCAACGTCATATAACCCCTTTAATATGACAATTTGAACACCTTAGCCACATAAAAGTATTTCATGTTATTAGATTTGCCATTAACAAGTGAAACTCTCTGCAAGTGTTGTGTGTTTGCAGATACCAATTAATTTAATATTATCAAATAAAAGTTCTGTCATGACAACTCTCCTAGGCATAGGCATGGTAATGTACATGACAATGTTAATGTGTTTGGTCTAGGCAGAATAGATCTGCTACGCTGCTGCTGCTGCTGCAGCAGAGCTAGTACCGAGACTTGCTACGGCCAACACATCCACAACATGCTGCTGTGAGCATGTAAGAAATACTGCTGCTGAACATATAACATATATAAAATAACCCCCATTTAGCATACATGAATACCCTATAGCAGATCTATACAGGTGGAGCTGGGGAGGTGGAGGGTTTCTGAAGCGTGCTGCAACAGCTACAGCAAGCACTAGCCAAGTATTTGAATGTTGAGCAGCGTGCTCATTGGCTGCTGATACAAAAAGAACCAATCAGCTGCGCCATGTGATAATGATGTCATTATGTCAGATCGAGTTTGACCAAACTGCGCCATCTAGAGTTTCATGGCAGAACTTTGTATTTATATATTTGAACTATGGCTTGTGTGTCCAAACCCTTTTTTGGCCATTTCGCACATAATACCAAAATGGAGTCCAACCTGGGATGTGGTTGCCATCATACTTTATATCCATTTCATGCAGGCCTCTCTCTGTAGGCTGAAATTGCACGGTGACTGTTCCATCTTTGTTGTCCCTGATGAAAGGTCGAGCTGTCTTACCAGAAGGCATACGCACTTCCCCTGCAAATAAAACAAACATGGTGCACTTCAGAAAACAGTACATTAGAGTAGTCACATTTTCTGCTCTAAATGAATATGATTAAAGATGTTACCGCTGAGCTCTCCTTGCTGGACAGTGAATGGGATAACTAAGTTCAGCGGCTGAAACATGGGCTTTGTGTCATCTCTCGGTACAACAGGCTGATCCGTAGCCTGAGATAACACAAGACAATCAACAAACCACAGTGCTGTTGTCTTTCCACCACTTCAACATTGAATATTTTAGCCATCTCATTCAAATCCCTTTCTGTTGTAATGTCCCTGGTATCAGTATCAGTAGCTCTATCTATCATGGCGTTATCATGGCAGTGATACACAGTCCGACACACCTGTTCAGTAATATCACTCACCATGACTTGAAAAGGGCTTTTAGGAATGTGTTGCCCTCCAAAGCGGATTGTGATGACATATTTTCCCGGCTCGGGTGCAGTATAATATATGTCGAAGGTGCCATCTGGATTTTCTGCAACATCCATATCCAGCTCCATGCCATTAGTGGTCAGAACCGTACATGTCACCTTCCCTTTTCCAGCAGCTTTGGCATTCACAGTGATGAATGTCTCTTCTGCGATCTTAATATTGGGCCCAAGGCTTTCTGCTCAAATCATTTCAAATAAAAATATTGTTAAAACCAAAGAATTAAACCTTGGAAACGTATTACTTGGTGTAATGTTAGAACATTTATAATGGCAGAAAATATTCCACCATTATACAATAATTCATTAAACTATCTTAAATTAATTTCCTGATTTCTTACCAACACCATGTCCTCTAATAGACACTGAAATAAAAAGCAAGCAAATTTTAGTAAAACCAGAGTTGCGAAAAGAAACCGCAAAACTTTGAAAGCACCAAAATGGAAACAATACCTGTGAGCAGGCACTTGCTGGCATCACCAGTGGGAAAGGCTTGGACATTGTAAGGTGAATATGGGATGTTATCTCCACCGTACTTAATGGTTATGGTGTAGCAGCCAGTCATGTCTGGCACATAAGATACAGTGTAGGTTCCATCTCTATTGTCTTGAATGCTGGCTTTTTTTGGCTTTCCCTCTGGGTCCTAAATGTTTAAATGTGAAACAATGTTTAAATGTGGCACTTTGGTAATATACAGTATGCCTTGTTTTGAGGTTTTCCATATAAGAAGAGAGGCTTACAAGGATTTGAACTGTCAGAAGGCCTTTTCCTGCATCACAAGCATCAATGGTAAACTCCACCGGAAGACTGGCAGCCACTCCTTTAGTGTCCAGACCGGGCCCGCTAGCACGCACCTTACTGGCATCATGTGTAGGGGCTGAATTGACTTTGAATGGACTGTTAACAACCACAACGCGAAAGAGACATGAAATGATTATGTTTTTATTACTGTCATGAGGTGACGATTAAATACAGTCTAAAATGCATGACTTATGATCTTACCTGTTAGGTACCTCTTGGTTGGCGTATTTGACAGACACAGTGTGTGGCCCCTCCTGTGCAGGGGTGTAGTTGACAGTATGTGTTCCATCCCGGTTGTTTTTAACAACTACAGGCTCCAGGGTTCCTATAAGACGAACATGTTCAAGATTTCGAAGGGAAAGACCATTGTTCAGGGGTAAGTATTGAGCATAGAGTTTTCTAGTTAATCTCCAGTACAATTTTAGTGTGTTAGGCGCAGAGTATATTCATAGTGGTTAGGCGCAGAGTATATTCATAGTGGACTGGAGGGGTTTATGATATGTACCTTTTGGTCCATACAACTGCACCTCTAGAGGAGCCACTCCTGCTTTGCTGCTGTCCACAGTGAAGGTTTGTGGAGCATGTGCAGTAACTCTGTTAGCAAGTCCAGGACCTGAGCACTTCACCTTACTGACATCCACCACATCCTTAACCTGCACCCGGAATGGACTGCCTGAGAACAGCAGAAGAAGAACACAGCTCTAAACCCCCCCAAAAAATAAAGCAGCAGCAATAAAGCAGCTATAGAACTATACAGTTACTCACCAACTATACAAGATAATACAGTAATATTCTATAGGTAATTGATGTATTTATAGGTATTTAGATATTTTACCTGGAATAGGCTGGCCTCCGTAATTGATATTAATATCATAGTCTCCAGCAGTGAAAGGCATGTATTCAACACTGCAACTACCATCTTTGTTGTCCTTACAGAACATTTTGGCTTCTGATGCTCCTTCAATGGTCAAGCCCAAACCACCCATCCCAGCGCCCCTTAAAATCATAAACATGGATGTACGATGAGACATAAATAACTCAAATATAATCCATCTTTAAAGCAAATATGATTTTCTCTTCAGGCACCAATGATTATATGTTTAAAGTATAGACCCCATACCTTGTCTCCACTGTGAAGCAGTTGGGTTTGTTAACTAGCCCACCTTCCAGGCCCGAGCCATAAGCTCGAATACGTGTTGGGTCACAACCTTCCACAACTGACACCTTAAAGGGGCTCCTGGGAACAGCAACATCATCATAAAAGACCTCGATCAGGTGCAAACCTACACAAATCAAAGAATTGCTTTAATTTAAAGAATTCTGGTTTATGCTTACTTCATAAGATACAGCTGTGGTAAACATGTTTTTCTATAGTTATAGTATAGTTAATATTCAGAGTTTTATAGCATATAGATTTTGCTATCTGCTCTGTTTTAACTGTGAACTGCAGCTGTCGCTAGTATTAATACAAGCTGTATTTCTGTACAACTGTGTGGCGGGCCCAAGACAGGCACACAACTATTTAATTATCTCTTTTTATAATGCATTTCCTATTTAAAAACTCTCCCTGCATCTGTCATGTGCTCTCATTCAGTTCCCCTTAAGCTCTGAAAGCTTCTAAAAACATGCCATGGTCTGTTTTTATACATACCCAATCCCAGATTTATTATATACATACAAGCATCTCTTTCTGATAGGATTCCTTCACCATCTACTACATATCTACTGTGAAAACCTACAACTTGCATTCACTTGTATTTATATATAAAATAATTGGTCACACTTTAGTTTGGGGACCAGTTCTCATTATTAATTAACTATTAACTGTGACTTTTGCCTCAATAAACTCCTAGTTTGGGGGGAAGTCGTGGCCTAATGGTTGTATGGGTCACCATACTTGGCCACATGTCACATGTCACTTCACTAATTTGCTGCTTATTAATAGTCAGTAAAGTAATAGTTTAGTTTAGGTATCGGGTAAGATTAAGGGATCTAAAATATGGTCAAGAGTAAAATATAGTCAAGTACAATATGGTGCAGAATAAGCCATTAATACGTGCTTTATAAGTAACTAATAAACAGCCAATATGCTGGTAATATGCATGCTAATAAGCAACTAGTCAATAGTGAGAAGTGTTACCAAATAATTCAAACACTTTTCTGAAGGCCTTCACTTTTTTTCCCTTAAACTCATTTGTTCAGTGTTTTCATGACGTACCATCCTCAAAAGCAGTGTATTCCACTCTGTATGTGCCGTCACCCTTATCAGTGATATATGCATCTGTGTTTGTGCCTGATGGATTGATGATGCAAATCTTAACATGATTTCTTCCTTTGGTCTTAGTCTGGGCTCGGGCATCCACAATGAAGTGTGTGGTCACCTCCTTAAGGACCCCTTGAGTGACAGAAAAACAGGACAATGAGGTATAACTGATAAAGGTAAGGACAGAAAGCTGTCATTAAAGTTTCTACCTCTGGGTTCAACTCCTGGTCCGTACACTTTAATCCCACTTGTGTCCACAGATGGCTCCACCTGAACACGTATGGGGCTCTTGGGCACCTGTTGACCTCCATATTTAATGGTGATGGTGTGTACGCCATGAAAGAGAGGGGTGTAGGTGACAGAAAATGTCCCATCATTGTTCTTTTGAATGCAAACTTCAGCTTGAGCCCCTGAATCCGACACAATATCAATGGTGAGTTCAGCCTCCCCGGCTCTACTGCAGTCCACTGTGAAAGTGGCCACCTCACCAGCTTTAGCCCGCTCCACTCCGGGTCCACTCACTATAACTTTGCCAGCATCCAGAGTTGGCTTGACAACAGCTTTAAAAGGAGAGCCGGGGATATGAGCTTCCCCATATAGGATGCTGATGTTGTAGTCACCAGCCTCTGTGGGCAGGTAGACAACAGAGCAGGTCCCATCACCGTTGTCTTGGCACTCAATCTTAGCCTCACAGGGGCCTTCCAGTGTTAGACCCAGACCACCAGCACCAGCTCCTTTCGTGTCAATAGTAAACCCTGCAGGCTGACCCACAACACCACCCTTAAGTCCTGGTCCATAGGCACGAACCTAGTGGGAAATCCAGTAACGTGAAATGATAGAGCTCATATAATATTGCAAAGAAACTAGAGATGCATCGATTGCATTTTTCTTGGACGATTCTGATTTCCGATTTTTTTGTAAGAATTTACCAAATTTAGAAGGGGAACTGAAGAATTTATTTTTTTAATCTGTACCCACAAATTCATAATCTGTGCACATCTATTCCCACGGGTTTGTAAACTGTACTCACAGACTCATCTTAGAAGAACAGCTTAGCTCCCAGGTAGGCCAAGTGTTAACGAATCTTATTGTATATTGTTTTATTGTGCATTATTAAGTGGAATACATCAAATTGTCTTAACTGCTTACTGTAGCGGGAACGAGGTGGAATGCAAGGATTTAATAAGAATGATGTGCGTCAAAATCTTTTAGTGTTTATTTGTGAAAATCTTAGAACTTTATTATTATTGTCTAAAAAACATTGTGTTGTGACTGAATTTTGACTAATTGCTTCGTTCCTCTTTTGTAAGTCGTTTTGGATAAAAGTTTCTTCTAGATGCATATGTAGTCTAAATGTAATAATAACAATAGCCTAGTAATAACAATAAAATAATAATAATAATAATAATTACTGTTATTATTATTATTGTTGTTGTTGTTATTATTATTATATTAATTTATAACTATAAATGAGTGCACTTAAGACAGTAAAATGTTCATCATAAAATAATTCAAGAATGTTTTTTTATAACCTTTTACAGATTTGGAAATGTGTTTGTGTACTATTCATTCTTAACATGAAGACTTGTTTTGGTGATTTTATTATACTAAGCTTTTTCCTCCAGAGTTAGATGCATGTAACAGGCTTCACTGGTTAATGTTATTTTTAAATAACTAGGCCTATTATAACATTGCATTCAGCCAGAGCGCAACTGAATGAAAATATAACGTGTACACCATTTGTTTTGTATTGCGTTTTAACTTCTCATTTGCACCGCGCTCTTCCGTCACTTAGCCTAATATTTTATTTTGGTGCGTTAATCAATTAAATTACTTATATGAGACTATGATCCGCACTCGCAAAATAGTCTTCTTTTTAGCATTTATTTTACATTAATCATCAATAGTTAAATCACAAGCGACGGTGTTTTATCTTGGTGATTAATGTAAAATAAACGCTAAAAAGAAGACAATTTTGTGAGTATGGATCATGGTCTCATATACTATGAAAAATAAAGTTTAAACACAATACAATGCATCCCGCACCTAAACAGGTGGCCTGGTTGAATCTGGCTTCCTGTATTGTTGGGCAAGTAAAATCCTCTCTCAATTGCAAAACATGTTTACACCGGTCCGATCATGCGGAAAATCGGCTAATTCCAGTCCCTGACTGATCGATCTCTGAATCTCTAAAAGAAACCTATTATTCCCAATAAGTAATTCCCAATATCTTACCTTTGAGGGATCGGCAGGCATGAGTCCCTCTACAGCGAAGGGACTTCCTGGAACGGGGTTCCCATCATAGCTGATGTCCACCTTGTAATGACCCTCTTCGGGTGGGATGTATTTCACACAGGTGGCCTCTTTGGTCTTGTCTGATTCCAACTTACAAGGTATTGGTCTAACAGAGGGTGAGGTTATGGTCACATTTACCTTACCCTGTCCACCTGCCCCTTTCGTGCTAACAATAAACTCCTGGTCCTTTCCAACTTCCACTTCTGCAACACAAATAGCAGTTTAGTAAGCATTGGAGCAGTATGCATTTATGGTTGATAGTTCAGGTTTAACTGTTGAGTTAAAGTGCTTACTTTCATTAAGGCCTTGAACTTTGACTTTGCCAGGATTGAGTGGAGGGGCGACTGTGATCATGAAAGGGCTTTTAGGAATGGGATCTCCGCCATGTGTGACCATGATAGCCATCTCACCCTATTTTGCAGAAGATTAGGCATTTGGCGAGATGTAATATTTCCCATCGTAATAACATTCACGTTCAAAGTAAAACCAAAATGGAATAGATGTTAGTGACCCCTGACCTGATGGAGAGCAGTGTACTTCACAGTGTAGGAGTAGTCGTGATTATCAATGATCTCAAAATCTTTAACAGCATTTCCTTTGGCAGAAGTTTTGAACTGCACCTCTGGTTTAGCCTTTCCTGCTCCCTTCGTGAAGATGGTGAAATGGGTTGGAATATCGACTTGAATGCCTGTAAAACAGGACTGTGTCAATTAAAACTCATTTCTCTGGGGCTTAAGGTGTCAATGTTGTTGCTTACACCCACCTGTCTTTTTCAGTCCAGGACCTTCAGCCCTGACTTTGCCAGCATCATGAGAAGGATCCACCTTGACTTTGAATGGGCTATTGGGGATTTCCTGAGTTAAGCAGAGAAGAGTTTGAGATGTTCACTTAGCCTTAGTGTACAATTGGTTTTTGGCAAGGAGCAAGAAGGCTGCTTTACCTGATCTGTAAAGAGCACCATGATGGTGTAACAGCCAGGGCCAGGGGGCATGTATTTGACAGTGAAGGTGTCATTATCATTTTTAATGATCTCAAAATCGATATCTGCCTCTGCTGGACCCAACACACCTGGGGCACATTTGATCCCAATGCTGATATCACCTACAATATAGTCAGAATGGTTAGCAACACTAACATTCTTTTACTGTGTCATATAAAGAAAAGAAATAAACTGTTTTGCAAACCTTGGCCGGCTTCGCTGCAGTCAACAGTGAAGTAGGTGGGCTCATTCGCCTTTAGGCCAGTTTTCTCAACTCCAGGCCCAAAGACTTTCACTTTGTCGGGGTGACAGCCTTCACCAACAAGAACCTTTAAAAGACAGAGTTTAAAGCAATAATGTGCAAACAATAATGTTAAATCTCAAACAATGACTCATCTAATGGTGTTGCTCCATCACAGCATAATGCAAACTAAAATACTACTCTGGGAATACTCACTCTAAAGGGACTCTTGGGTACATTGACCTCCCCCCAGGTAATTATGATGGTGTGCTTCACTGGTTTGGTAGGAACATACGTACAAACAAAAGCGCCATCTCCCTTATCAGTAATCTGAATGTCAATCACACAGCCTTCAGCGTGTAATAGTTTAGTTTAGGTATCGGGTAAGATTAAGGGATCTAAAATATGGTCAAGAGTAAAATATAGTCAAGTACAATATGGTGCAGAATAAGCCATTAATACGTGCTTTATAAGTAACTAATAAACAGCCAATATGCTGGTAATATGCATGCTAATAAGCAACTAGTCAATAGTGAGAAGTGTTACCAAATAATTCAAACACTTTTCTGAAGGCCTTCACTTTTTTTCCCTTAAACTCATTTGTTCAGTGTTTTCATGACGTACCATCCTCAAAAGCAGTGTATTCCACTCTGTATGTGCCGTCACCCTTATCAGTGATATATGCATCTGTGTTTGTGCCTGATGGATTGATGATGCAAATCTTAACATGATTTCTTCCTTTGGTCTTAGTCTGGGCTCGGGCATCCACAATGAAGTGTGTGGTCACCTCCTTAAGGACCCCTTGAGTGACAGAAAAACAGGACAATGAGGTATAACTGATAAAGGTAAGGACAGAAAGCTGTCATTAAAGTTTCTACCTCTGGGTTCAACTCCTGGTCCGTACACTTTAATCCCACTTGTGTCCACAGATGGCTCCACCTGAACACGTATGGGGCTCTTGGGCACCTGTTGACCTCCATATTTAATGGTGATGGTGTGTACGCCATGAAAGAGAGGGGTGTAGGTGACAGAAAATGTCCCATCATTGTTCTTTTGAATGCAAACTTCAGCTTGAGCCCCTGAATCCGACACAATATCAATGGTGAGTTCAGCCTCCCCGGCTCTACTGCAGTCCACTGTGAAAGTGGCCACCTCACCAGCTTTAGCCCGCTCCACTCCGGGTCCACTCACTATAACTTTGCCAGCATCCAGAGTTGGCTTGACAACAGCTTTAAAAGGAGAGCCGGGGATATGAGCTTCCCCATATAGGATGCTGATGTTGTAGTCACCAGCCTCTGTGGGCAGGTAGACAACAGAGCAGGTCCCATCACCGTTGTCTTGGCACTCAATCTTAGCCTCACAGGGGCCTTCCAGTGTTAGACCCAGACCACCAGCACCAGCTCCTTTCGTGTCAATAGTAAACCCTGCAGGCTGACCCACAACACCACCCTTAAGTCCTGGTCCATAGGCACGAACCTAGTGGGAAATCCAGTAACGTGAAATGATAGAGCTCATATAATATTGCAAAGAAACTAGAGATGCATCGATTGCATTTTTCTTGGACGATTCTGATTTCCGATTTTTTTGTAAGAATTTACCAAATTTAGAAGGGGAACTGAAGAATTTATTTTTTTAATCTGTACCCACAAATTCATAATCTGTGCACATCTATTCCCACGGGTTTGTAAACTGTACTCACAGACTCATCTTAGAAGAACAGCTTAGCTCCCAGGTAGGCCAAGTGTTAACGAATCTTATTGTATATTGTTTTATTGTGCATTATTAAGTGGAATACATCAAATTGTCTTAACTGCTTACTGTAGCGGGAACGAGGTGGAATGCAAGGATTTAATAAGAATGATGTGCGTCAAAATCTTTTAGTGTTTATTTGTGAAAATCTTAGAACTTTATTATTATTGTCTAAAAAACATTGTGTTGTGACTGAATTTTGACTAATTGCTTCGTTCCTCTTTCGTAAGTCGTTTTGGATAAAAGTTTCTTCTAGATGCATATGTAGTCTAAATGTAATAATAACAATAGCCTAGTAATAACAATAAAATAATAATAATAATAATAATTACTGTTATTATTATTATTGTTGTTGTTGTTATTATTATTATATTAATTTATAACTATAAATGAGTGCACTTAAGACAGTAAAATGTTCATCATAAAATAATTCAAGAATGTTTTTTTATAACCTTTTACAGATTTGGAAATGTGTTTGTGTACTATTCATTCTTAACATGAAGACTTGTTTTGGTGATTTTATTATACTAAGCTTTTTCCTCCAGAGTTAGATGCATGTAACAGGCTTCACTGGTTAATGTTATTTTTAAATAACTAGGCCTATTATAACATTGCATTCAGCCAGAGCGCAACTGAATGAAAATATAACGTGTACACCATTTGTTTTGTATTGCGTTTTAACTTCTCATTTGCACCGCGCTCTTCCGTCACTTAGCCTAATATTTTATTTTGGTGCGTTAATCAATTAAATTACTTATATGAGACTATGATCCGCACTCGCAAAATAGTCTTCTTTTTAGCATTTATTTTACATTAATCATCAATAGTTAAATCACAAGCGACGGTGTTTTATCTTGGTGATTAATGTAAAATAAACGCTAAAAAGAAGACAATTTTGTGAGTATGGATCATGGTCTCATATACTATGAAAAATAAAGTTTAAACACAATACAATGCATCCCGCACCTAAACAGGTGGCCTGGTTGAATCTGGCTTCCTGTATTGTTGGGCAAGTAAAATCCTCTCTCAATTGCAAAACATGTTTACACCGGTCCGATCATGCGGAAAATCGGCTAATTCCAGTCCCTGACTGATCGATCTCTGAATCTCTAAAAGAAACCTATTATTCCCAATAAGTAATTCCCAATATCTTACCTTTGAGGGATCGGCAGGCATGAGTCCCTCTACAGCGAAGGGACTTCCTGGAACGGGGTTCCCATCATAGCTGATGTCCACCTTGTAATGACCCTCTTCGGGTGGGATGTATTTCACACAGGTGGCCTCTTTGGTCTTGTCTGATTCCAACTTACAAGGTATTGGTCTAACAGAGGGTGAGGTTATGGTCACATTTACCTTACCCTGTCCACCTGCCCCTTTCGTGCTAACAATAAACTCCTGGTCCTTTCCAACTTCCACTTCTGCAACACAAATAGCAGTTTAGTAAGCATTGGAGCAGTATGCATTTATGGTTGATAGTTCAGGTTTAACTGTTGAGTTAAAGTGCTTACTTTCATTAAGGCCTTGAACTTTGACTTTGCCAGGATTGAGTGGAGGGGCGACTGTGATCATGAAAGGGCTTTTAGGAATGGGATCTCCGCCATGTGTGACCATGATAGCCATCTCACCCTATTTTGCAGAAGATTAGGCATTTGGCGAGATGTAATATTTCCCATCATAATAACATTCACGTTCAAAGTAAAACCAAAATGGAATAGATGTTAGTGACCCCTGACCTGATGGAGAGCAGTGTACTTCACAGTGTAGGAGTAGTCGTGATTATCAATGATCTCAAAATCTTTAACAGCATTTCCTTTGGCAGAAGTTTTGAACTGCACCTCTGGTTTAGCCTTTCCTGCTCCCTTCGTGAAGATGGTGAAATGGGTTGGAATATCGACTTGAATGCCTGTAAAACAGGACTGTGTCAATTAAAACTCATTTCTCTGGGGCTTAAGGTGTCAATGTTGTTGCTTACACCCACCTGTCTTTTTCAGTCCAGGACCTTCAGCCCTGACTTTGCCAGCATCATGAGAAGGATCCACCTTGACTTTGAATGGGCTATTGGGGATTTCCTGAGTTAAGCAGAGAAGAGTTTGAGATGTTCACTTAGCCTTAGTGTACAATTGGTTTTTGGCAAGGAGCAAGAAGGCTGCTTTACCTGATCTGTAAAGAGCACCATGATGGTGTAACAGCCAGGGCCAGGGGGCATGTATTTGACAGTGAAGGTGTCATTATCATTTTTAATGATCTCAAAATCGATATCTGCCTCTGCTGGACCCAACACACCTGGGGCACATTTGATCCCAATGCTGATATCACCTACAATATAGTCAGAATGGTTAGCAACACTAACATTCTTTTACTGTGTCATATAAAGAAAAGAAATAAACTGTTTTGCAAACCTTGGCCGGCTTCGCTGCAGTCAACAGTGAAGTAGGTGGGCTCATTTGCCTTTAGGCCAGTTTTCTCAACTCCAGGCCCAAAGACCTTCACTTTGTCGGGGTGACAGCCTTCACCAACAAGAACCTTTAAAAGACAGAGTTTAAAGCAATAATGTGCAAACAATAATGTTAAATCTCAAACAATGACTCATCTAATGGTGTTGCTCCATCACAGCATAATGCAAACTAAAATACTACTCTGGGAATACTCACTCTAAAGGGACTCTTGGGTACATTGACCTCCCCCCAGGTAATTATGATGGTGTGCTTCACTGGTTTGGTAGGAACATACGTACAAACAAAAGCGCCATCTCCCTTATCAGTAATCTGAATGTCAATCACACAGCCTTCAGTGTCCTAGAAGAAAAGCCCAGCAGGTCAGCATTTAGCCAGTTTGCAGAAACAAAATTATTAATTTTCAATGATTCATTGGTTTGACTGGTACACATGTTATGAGTCTTGTCCTCTGTTACCCTGTAACATTGATTCTACTTACAGGACTGATGTTTAACCGTAGCCTGCCATCATTTCCAAAGGAAAACATTGAGACTGTTAGTAAGATCAAGCGAGGTGCTGAGCATCTGATGAGATGACGAACTGGAAAACTGCAATGCTGCTTTGTTCAGTTGTCACAGATCCTCATACAGAGCGAGTCAAATATGATAAATGAAAATATGCAGTACACAGAACATCCATAAAATACAATATCAGCTTTATAATGCCAGATTATTGGTCATTGATTACTGGAAAGGTCATTTTATAAACATCCAAACCAACAATGTTACATCCAAGCCCAAAATGCTTTGATCTATTACAAAAAGATGTATAAAAATATATTAAAAATATGCTTTTTTTTACATGACACTCAGGCAAATATCCCGTGCTTTAAGCATAAGTTCATGTTGTCAGTCTTTGCCGCTCTGTGTTACAAATACACTTACTCACTAACTTTTGCCTCTTTCCTACCATGCCTCAAAGTGGGTGATTTGATGTATGGCAGGAATCAAGCTTCTGCGAACAAGCAAGAAGCTAAGCTTAGATACTGTTGCCTACTGTTGCCAAAGTCGAGCGGCAGCGCACCTTTCTTTGTAAGAGCGAGTACCTGCTTCGGAGCCCCAGAAGGTTTAAGGTGTGCTACAAAATAAACAATTGTTTTTTGGGTTGTGGGGAGATTCTTTGTCTGTTTTTGACTGTTGTCCATGTACTGTTCCAATATGACTGACACGTTTAAAGATATTTGAGGAATATCTTAATAAGACAGTAAGATATGTAAGAAAGGAAAGTTATCAGACACTTACCCTCAGAGACTTGCACTTTAAAGGGGCTGTTGGGTATTGGCTGCCCAGCAAAGCTCACATGGATGGTGTGCGGCCCTTCTTGCAGAGGTTTGTAGGTGCAACGGAAGATGTTATCACCCTTGTTTTCCAGAAGAACTTCCACAGTGTTGTTTTTATTCTGAGGGTCAACGATGACCACACTAACATCTCCAGCCCCAGCACCTGAAAATGGCGAGACAGGATCTTGAGTTCACCTTCATATAGAAAAGGCTCTTCCAAGACAAGTCTGTGCGTTCTCCTCACCTGCAGTGTAGATGTCAAAATAAGTAGGCTTATTGGCCACATTGCCCACTGGATCCAGACCTGGACCTCGAGCCTGAACTTTTTTGGGATCACCCAGAGCCTTTGCCACGTTCACCATGAAGGGGCTCTTATCAATGTCCTGACCAGCAAAGAGTACTTTCACCTGTGATATATAAGAATATATAAACAACCATGCCACTGGAAGCAAACAGGATTACACTCTCAAATGGACACTAAACGGTCAACCATGTTCTTGTACTAATGCTTACCTTGTGGGGCCCCTCAACTTTGGACACATAGGTGACAGAGAATGTTCTTTTCTTGTCATTGTTGGGGACAACTTTAGCCTAACACAATTAAAATACGGATTCTAGTTTAAAATGTCATTGATGGTTTGTTTCACATTGATGCAATAATTACAGAACGTAAACATCTGTCATCTCTCACCTCCTCAGTGTGACCCTCTGGGTCCTCTACATACACGATCACTTCTCCAAGTCCTGCCTCCAGTGTTTCCACAGTAAAAACAGCTGGATTCAAAACCATGTTCCCCTGAGGCTCAATACCTGTTTTCATGAGAAAAAAATACAGATAAAACTGTCATACACAAGCTTTCAAAAGCAATACTCAGGATCTACTCATTGCATGCTTGACTGCATGCAAACAAAGTATCCAAAGTACCAAAATAAAGGCTAAATAACTGATATTTTAAAATTCAATCAACTTTATAATTTCTATGTGTAGCTCAAAAAGGCTCTGTGAGCTTGTGTTGACAGAGCACATTTTGTGATGTTTTAAGACAACTGCACTTGGTTTATGAGCCTGTAGTTTGCTCACCTGGTCCATAGGCCTTGGCCTTTTTGGGGTACAGCTGCTTTGGCTTGAGAGGGGCTCCAGACTTTAGTTTAGCTTTGGGAAACTGAGAGAGGTACGTCATCACTGAATGCTCATCCACATCTGGATCCACAATTTCCTCTGGAGCTATCACCTATAGATCAAAGATTTATTATAGCATTGCATGTATAGTGGTCCTTAATCAGTAATCATTGCTTTTATGTTGCGTATGTTTGTGCTCAGAAAACCACTACATTAAATTTCCATTGGAGAAGTAACTAGTCGTAAGGCCCATTTATGACGAAAATCATAACAGTGCATTTTCTTTTCACCATCACGTTTGTTCAACCATCACAAGGCAGTGGCAATTTCTTCAGATACTATATTTCTCCACAGAGTGCTGAGGTTTGAGTGCAGCCTTCAACAAGTCAAGGACAGGATTTACTAGGAGCCAGACCCCTCCCACATCCCCTCAACAGTCAGCAGGAATTTATGACACATACCCTACACCATGCGTGGCATCTCACACTTATCCCATGAGGATAATGGAGCAGGCAACACTGTGTCAAACTGCTGGAACCACTAACATTTTACACAACCCCATGCTAAACACTACCTTCCTTGTAGCCTGAAGTAGAGTAAAAAATCTATTGGCTGAACATGTGGTGTTTTTGTTGAGTGGATGTTCACCTGAGGCACGCCGAGCCAGTCATCGGCCTGCTGCATGGCCTCACGAGCATTTGCAACGGGCTTGTTGTGGTCCCATGTTTGCCAGTCAGGGCACAGGCCTACGCAAAGAGTTCAAATTATACGAGTGTATCATTTAAGTTCTCCTTTAAAGATTTATTCCACCGAAAATACATAAAAAAGAGTGAAATCAAATATGACATCAGGCCTCCCATAAACCTGGTCTGTTGCGTAGAAATTGTTTGTAAATATGTCTAAAGAGACTTATAATGTAACCTAAATATATAATGATAACAGTTATGCTGTGATTTGTCAAAAGCCAGCAGCACCCTGTATGGTCATAACTGTCTCGCAGGGACTGTTTCATTTCAGCTACACCGAAGTAAACACTTTAGTTCATTACCCCTCTTTTCTCAGTAAGCCTCCATGTGAGCAAAGAGTTGCTCAGAAACTAGGTCATGATTTAGATGCAGTAAATATAGGAAGCTCTCATTCTCTATTGTATTGTTTAATTTATGCATTCTTATAATACAGGTTTTACTTATATTTGTTCTTGCTAATGGCAAAAATGGACTGAGCTCTCTAAAAGGAAAGTGAAAAAAGAGGATATACATATCCTCACATTATTCAGATTTTTACTATTGAATTTATTGCATAGCTTATATACTTTACTGATTTTATATTGGCACTGGCACTATATATTATATTTATTAAATAAATGATGTTGTGTATTTGCCCTTATGTCAGAAAATGTAAACACAAATGAACAATGAAATATGGTCTAAGTAGTGAATCTGAACTACCTTATAACCCAAAATCTTGCAATCTTGAAAATATATATATATATATATTGTTGCATTTCCTCACCCAATCACAACTGCCCAAAGTCAAACCATACAAGCTTGGTTATGTCAGAATGTGAACTTACCAGGGGCACAGTTATCCACGAGGGCACCGAGGGCCTTGCCATCCCTCCAGTCCTTGTGAAAGTTGTTAATAGGCAGCTCCGGTACCTTGTTCTGAATCCAGCCCAGCAGCCTTTGTTTGGGAGTGAGCTTCTTAACCTCTTCATCGTCCTCATCGTCCCACATAGGCATGGAGATGGAGTAATGGAGAATGAGTGTCCAGATGAGACCCAGAATCAGCTTCAGGTTCCCATCTACAATAGCTTTGCTGTCTGCACAGGTCCAAGACAATCAAGAGGAAACTAAGTGAGCAAATGCACTAACAGCTGGTATTAACATGGTACTTTTACAGTATACACCATTATATTCAACGACAACCATATTCAAACAGCATTGTACTTCAAAGAATATAAAAGTGCAAAAAAATAGCTATTTGTATTAATAGTTCTGTCCCAGTGTCTCAGTACCAACAGTTGTTAAGGAGTCAGGTCTCCCCTAAACACATTCACACCACTGGTTTACAGCGAGTGATTTTCTGTATAAGCGGCTCTAAACATAAATCACAATGGGGTAACTGCATTGCAGTTTACTCAGTATTCATTACTACTCCAACAAGCTACTCTGCAATGCTTATCTGATACAAACTTTCACCTTTACTCAAACAAGCTGAACTATTTTCCATTTCACTGACACATGGAAGTCCAATGTGAGCTACTTGTACATGCTGCTGATATAATGTTACTGCTCCCAGACTCTGACAGCTCAACTTTAAGAGAGTGAGGTAAAGCAGTGAGCATTTGACCGCTGATAAGATTTATGAGCAGGCTTGTGTGTTTGTGACATGCTTACTGAGGTACAACAGTGCAGATACAAAACACATTAGTGTGTGATAACTTCACTTCTATTAATAAGCTATTAATAAACAATGAGTCATGAATAAATAAGAAGTAATTCATAAGATGTTGTAATGTTAAATAGATTGGCTGTTGATGTGCTTTCAAACGTAAAAAGGGGCGAGTGGTTATATTAAGGAACTTTTATACCTAAAAAAAAACCTGAACTTAAAAACGACTTGCACTTGGTCTGGTATAGCCTAATCTAGTGCCCTTTTATTCAGTCATATTTACAATATTAGTGAATAAAATCAGTTAAAGGGATAGTTCACCCAAAATGGAAAATTCTGTCATCATTTACTCACCCTCATGTCGTTCCAAACCCGTATGAGTTGCTTTCTTATGTTGAACACAAAAGAAGATATTTAGAAGATTGCTGGTAATCAAACAGTTGGTGGTTGCATTGGCTTCCATAGTATTTTTTTCCTACTATGGAAGTCAATGGCAACCACCAACTGTTTGATTACCAGCAATCTTCTAAATATCTTCTTTTGTGTTCAACATAAGAAAGCAACTCATACGGGTTTGGAACGACATGAGGATGAGTAAATGATGACAGAATTTTCCATTTTGGGTGAACTATCCCTTTAATATAAAGGTTTCAGATCTTTAGAGTCTAAATTTGTTTATTATTATTATATTAATTATTATAATCATCAGGTTTTTAGAGTTATTTGAATGCACAATAATTATCTCTTAATTGTTAGATCTGTTACTATAGCTATAATCAAATAACGTTTGTTAAAGTTATTAATGAAAGTCGTTGTAAAATATCACCGAAGTTGGGACGATATTTGCAACTTTTCCTTCAAAAAAGTTTGAATAAATTGAATTTTTTTTAAAAATTAAAAAAATCCAGATTATTCTTGTTTAAAGCGGATCTTACCTATGGACACTAGTTTGATTCGCTCCCGGTCCAGAAACTCCAGCGCCACCGACACGTTCTCCAGCTTCATCTGTCTGAAGTTTGGTCTGACATGATGCTTTCTGTACATTTTCTTCTGACTGAGGACCTCCAGGAGCGAGATGAGCTTGAGGCCATCGCTCAGGTCTCTCTGGAGGTCAGTGAGGCTCTTATTGACGCATTTGAGATGTTCGTTGCACCATCTGGTGAAGGTGTTCTGCTGGATCTTCTTCCACGGCGCGTCCTCGGCCAGCTCCTTCTCTGTCGCTGGCATCTCCTCCTCTTCCTCTTCCCCGAAGTCTGTGCCCTGGTAGTATTGCGGCGGCAGATCCTCTAAATGTGTGTAATTGCTCATGATGGACTCTTGCTTTTATACGTGCAATGCTCATTCACAGGAGAGTGTCAGAGACGCGTTTGCTGTACAGCAGATCAAAACCTGGATGGAGTTTGAAAAGAAAACAGACAGGCTTTCACAGATGCTTGTGAAAAGTGATCTTCTGTCAGGACGGTGATGGATTATGCGATTTACGGTTTACAAGGCGGCTGGTCCCCGTTTTTAATTCTCAGTCCCCTGACGAATGTAGTGGCGACTTCTTAATGGACACTTTGAGTTTGAAGAATATCACTTTTTGAAAAATGAAGATGTGCTGCTCCACAGCTCGCAGGAGTGAAACTCTGTTTGAAGTGAGGGAGAGGGTGAATGAAGGGGGTTTAAATGCACCCAGGACCCCAGGGATTACATCACACTGATGTCATGCTGTATATACTGGAGTATGGCGAGCAGTTTTCGATAACTGTGATCGATCGGATTGGTGGAAATGAATTAGGCAGTCTGTGATTGGCCAATGGAGGCGCACTTATTTCTGCACTGTCGGGGTCAGTGGGTATGTTTATTTCCGGGGACTTCAATCACGTGACACTGGACTCCTCCTTGTCTGCTTTCTTCCAATATGTGGACTGTTCCACCAGAGGAAACAGGACTATTGATCTGTTGTATGCAAATGTAAGGGATGCATACACTGCCATTCCTCTGCCACCACTGGGGAAATCAGACCACAATCTGGTTCTGCTCCGCCCTCACTACAAGCCCAAGGCACGGAGAGAATTCACCACCACACGCTCATTTAGGAAGTGGTCTCCTGAGGCTGAGGAGGTACTGAGGGACTGTTTTCAGTCTACTGATTGGAGAATGCTGCAGGAGTCGTATGGGGAGGACATTGAGGGTATCACCAGCTGCATAACTGACTACATGAACTTCTGCATGGATGTTATGGTCCCTACTAGAACTGTACGCTGCTTTTCCAACAACAAACCCTGGATTACCAGAAACATCAAGGACCTCCTTAATCAAAAGAAGAGAGCCTTCAGGAATGGTGACCAGGAGGAGCTGAGACGCGTACAGAGGGAGCTCAAAGTCCAGCTGAAAGAAGCCAAGGATACCTACAGAAAGAAACGGGAGCAGAAACTGCAGCAGAACAGCACAAGAGAGGTGTGGGATGGTATGAAGACCATCACGGGAATACAGTTAAGGGGGATCGGGAGAAGGCTAACCAGTTAAACAACTTCTTTAACAGGTTTGACTGCCCTGCCTCTACTGCTGCAACTTGTCCCGCTGCCACCCCTGCACCTTCCTCGATCAACACTACTGGACGTGAAGAAACCACCCTCCCCATTATCCACTGACACTTCCTCCCCTCTGACACTCTCTGGGGAGAGCAACATCCTCCCTTCCCCGCCTACCTTTACAGCAGCTCAAGTGAGTGGAGAGCTGAGGAGGCTACACAGCAGCAAAGCAGCCGGGCTCGGGCCCGCTACTTTGTGTCCCAGGCTACTCAAGGCCTGTGCTCTGGAGCTGGGTGACCCCCTACAGCATATCTATAACCTGAGTATGCGGGTAGGGAGGGTTCCAGTGCAGTGGAAAACGTCCTGCATCGTTCCTGTTCCGAAGAGTCCGCACCCCAAGGAGCTGAATGACTACAGGCCCGTCGCCCTAATATCCCATGTCATGAAGACCATGGAGCAGTTGCTGTTACACAACCTCAGATCAGAGGTCCAACATGCACTTGATCCACTGCCGTTTGCAGGAGAAAGGGGGTGTGGATGATGCCATTCTCTACCTGCTTCACCGGTCACTCTTGTACCTGGACATGGGCAGTAACGCTGTGAGGATTATGTTCTTTGATTTCTCCTGCGCTTTCAACACCATTCAGCCTCCGCTAATGAGGGACAAGCTGAAAATGATGGGTGTGGACTCATACCTGTTGAGGTGGATCACAGATTATCTCACTGGAAGGCCTCAGTACGTCCGGCTGAGGGACTGCACCTCTCAGACTGTGGTTAGCAGCACAGGAGCCCCACAGGGAACAGTGCTCTCCCTGGTCCTGTTCACTCTGTACACCTCTGACTTTAAATACAACTCGGACTTGTGTCACATGCAGAAGTTCTCTAATGACATGACCATTGATGGGTGTATAAGGAATGGACATGAAGAGGAGGACTGATCCCCTGATCGGGGACTTTGTGGCATGGTGCAGGTCTAACAGTCTGCAGCTCAACACCACCAAGACCAAGGAGATGGTGGTCGACTTCCGTAGGTCCAGACCCCACCTGCAGCCTGTGTCCATTGAGGGTGTCTGCGTAGAGATGGTACGGACATACAGATATTTGGGTCTGGAGTTAGACGACAGACTAGACCAGTCCCCAAACACAGACGCCCTCTACAGGAAGGGACCGACCCGACTCTACTTCCTGAGGAGATTGGGGTCCTTTAACATCTGCCAGAAGCTGCTGCAGATGTTTTATCAGACTGTCATCGCCAGCATTCTCTTCTATGCTATGGCGTGCTAGGGAGGCAGCATTAAGAGGAGGGACACCACGTGGTTGAACAAACGGGTGAGGAAGGCTGGATCAGTAGTTGGTGCTGAACTGGACACCCTGACATCTGTATAGCTGAGAAAAGGTTCCTCGGCAAGATACTGTCCATCCTGGACAATGTCCACCACCCTCTGCACCAAACCATTTCCAGGCAGAGGAGCTCCTATGGTGACAGGCTGTTGTCCCTGCCCTGCTCTACAGACAGACTGAGGATGTCATTTGTCAATCAGGTATCTTCTTACCGTAAAAATGGGCGCCATTTGTGCGGCCATTTGTAAATTGAGGCTGGGGTCCTTTAACATCTGCCAGAAGCTGCTGCAGATGTTTTATCAGACTGTCATCACCAGCGTTCTCTTCTATGCTGTGGTGTGCTGGGGAGGCACCATTAAGAGGAGGGACACCACGCAGTTGGACAAACTGGTGAGGAATGCTGGATCAGTAGTTGGTGCTGAACTGGACACCCTGACATCTGTAGCTGAGAAAAGGATCCTCAGCAAGATACTTTCCATTCTGGACAATGTCCACCACCCTCTGCACCAAACCATTTCCAGGCAGAGGAGCTCCTATGGTGACAGGCTGTTGTCCCTGCCCTGCTCTACAGACAGACTGAGGATGTCGTTTGTCAATCAGGTATCTTCTTACCATAAAAATGGGCGCCATTTGTGCAGCCATTTGTAAATTCTATGGTTCTAGCTTCCGGTTCTGTACAGCTATTTTTAGCTGTACAGAACCGCTCCTTTTACAGCTTGATATTGAAAATTGGTGTGTCTTACCATATTATTTTAATGTATTATCTTAATTATGAACACACTGGTTTGTAGTGCAAACAGTTTTACCATTTACTGCACATTGTTATTCTCCTCGTTATTTACCTACAGCGGCTGATGAACCGGAAGTCTCACCCATAGGCTTACTTCTGTGTTGAAGAAAAAGATGGATACGGCTCTTCAACTCTTCCCTGTAAGCAGGACTTGAACTGGACTGTTGCTAATGGACTTTCTAGATTGATGGACACAGAACTGGTGAGCACTGCCGTCTTTTATGTCCCATGCCATCTATATACTTTTGTCTTTGTACTGGACTTATATCATATTTACAGTATTTTTATTACATTTTTACATATTTTAAATACCTGGATTTTGACTCGCACTTTATAGTGTATTGTATTACATATTTGCACATCGTAAACACCTCTATATATTTGCATATTTGATGCTGGTACCCAGCATCTAACGCTAGTATTTCCATTCATGCACCTATGTTTATTCTGTACATGTACTCTTTTGTTTTTTATTTTGTATTCTAAGTTTATACTTTTTTATGCATGCTATGTTGTCTGTTTTAATGTTGCTACTGGATACCTGAATTTCCCCTCAGGGATCAGTACAGTATCTATCATCATCATCATCATCATCATCAAAGGATTAACCTGCGTTTCACATGGGCATTAAAATATCTGTTTTATACCCCAGATTCCAAGGACGATAAAAAATGATCTTGTAAGAGACAATAAAACATGTGCATATCTATTTTAAATATCAGCTATACTAAAGTATTAAGCTTGGGTCAAGCCTTTACTAAAAAAAAAATCTTCTACAACATCTTGTGCTTGCATTTTAAAAACACTGCCTTCCAAATTTTGGAAATGTCCTAGTCATTAAAGTGACTTTCAGTTATCATTGAAGACCAAGCAATAATTATCTTATTTTTTTTATTACGTCATAATAGCAAAATATACATGTCACAGTCAGACATGCTCCTTTTGTAGCCTGATTTTGGAGGTGGTTCAGCACAATTTTAAAAGGTTTTAGTGACTGATCGCTAAATAAGGTAAATGCACAAACGAAGAACACACAAACAGTTGTACTTTTCAAAATTGTATTGACAACATTGAGTGATCACTGACAAGATAGGCTGGGCAAAGTAAGTAAACCCTTAAATTTAATAACTTTTAGATCTTCCTTTCGCAGCAAAACTTCCAGCATGTTTGCTGGAAGTTTTTCTGCAAAATGAAGATCTACAAGTTATTAAATTTAAGGGTTCCTGATAATCCCTGATAACATTTTTGACCATCACTCTCACAAATCTGTTGAACTGCTGTCTCCTGTAAAATCTCTTGATACTCTGATACTCTTAAGTGTCCAGATCCTGAACGCTCCCTCCACCATGCTTCATTTGGGATGAGGTTTTGGTTTTGGTGTGCAGTGCTCTTTTTTTCTCAACTGTTCACAGAACAATAACCTTAAGGTGCCATAAGATATAATAAGAACATGTGCATATCTATTTTAAATATCAGCTATACTAAAGTATTAAGCTTGGGTCAAGCCTTTACTAAAAAAAAAATCTTCTACAACATCTTGTGCTTGCATTTTAAAAACACTGCCTTCCAAATTTTGGAAATGTCCTAGTCATTAAAGTGACTTTCAGTTATCATTGAAGACCAAGCAATAATTATCTTTTTTTTTTTATTACGTCATAATAGCAAAATATACATGTCACAGTCAGACATGCTCCTTTTGTAGCCTGATTTTGGAGGTGGTTCAGCACAATTTTAAAAGGTTTTAGTGACTGATCGCTAAATAAGGTAAATGCACAAACGAAGAACACACAAACAGTTGTACTTTTCAAAATTTTATTGACAACATTGAGTGATCACTGACAAGATAGGCTGGGCAAAGTAAGTAAACCCTTAAATTTAATAACTTTTAGATCTTCCTTTCGCAGCAAAACTTCCAGCATGTTTTGCTGGAAGTTTTTCTGCAAAATGAAGATCTACAAGTTATTAAATTTAAGGGTTCCTGATAATTCCTGATAATAACATTTTTGACCATCACTCTCACAAATCT